GACTTATTTACAAAAGGGCTAAACCATTCCAGACATCAAGGTCTCTGTGACAAGTTGGGTATGATTGATATCTATGCCCCAACTTGAGGGGGAGTGTTAACAGGTGTATTATATGTACTGTACACAGGCTTAGTACCCGCAGGGGTATTTTCGTAATTTTGTAGTCATATTGTTATATACTGCCAGAATAGTATAAATAGAAAGCTTCACTCGGCTGAAGCTAAGTTTTGATTGAGGCCTTAACTCAGTTGCCTCTTATTCTTCTTCCTCTTCTCCTTCCTTCTTCTTTCTTCTTCTTCTTCTTGGTCTCCTGCTCAACAATAGATATGATTTTTGTACAGCATTATAAATAGATAATGTATATTCTTTTCTATTAAAATAAGTTTTTTTTTTTTAATTATATATATGGATGTGTTCGTGTGTGTGTGTGTGTGTATGTGTGGTAGTTACAAAGAACCACAATTGCATGGTTTGAGAAGAAAGAAATAGATCTAACCAAGTGATGGAAGTTAAAGGATGCCACAAGTATCATTTACTCCATATGTCTCATGCATCCTTCAATCTAAAATGGAGAACAAGGTTTTTCTACCACAAAATAAGTCAATGTACCACAGCCACAGATTCGAATTACATAACAAATGGTAGTGAAGGACATACATATTACACTTTAGAACATTTTAAAATCTAAAATAATAGATTTTCAACCTAGAAGGAAACTTATGAATATTTAGTATCAGATAAATTATGCAAATTATGAAATGAAAAGAAAAGGTTAGAAATATCTAACCTGTCCACCAAAATTGAAAATAACTAACTTCATATTATCTGCTATTCCAAGCTCCTTCCTCATCTGTTCCCAAATGAAAATAAGAATAACAAATTGTATAATCAACCACACTCTGGAAGAGCATTAATATTGTCTCATGACCATACCTCTGATCGAGATTTATGCAACCTTCTCACAACAAGGGGCACATCAACAACATCATGAAAAGCAGGCACTGCAATACCATGAGATAAATTACATTCCACAATAGATAAATAAGTTTATAAAAATTCCAAGAAAAATAAAATCACCAATATTAAGTTCTTGAGCTAACATACTTGGGCAGTATCCTGGGAGGCGGATGACAAACTCACAGTGAGAATAATCTTCAGCTATCTATACAAATAAACAACACCATGTTTAGCATGAGTGTGAAATACCAAAGGAAGAACTTTATAACTAATAAAAAGGAAAGAACCTAACTGGAATGTCGGAAGGAAATATTCTTCAAGAAAACAAAAACACGTAAAATATGGGGAATGATTTAGGTACATCCCAATTTTTTGAAAAGGTGGCATGCCGCGAATCATTATTCAAAAGTTCATTTTTTTCGAGAGAAAAACATCCCTTTATAATGATTTTTGACATTGCAAAAAGTAGTTAGTCCTTTAATGTTATCAGAACCTGTAAACCAACACACAACAATTCAGCATGTCATCTAATCAGCCTGAGATTTGGAGGGTCTCTTGTACTCTTGTTTAACTTTAAAATGTCAAAAATTCAAGCTGATCCAATGATTGGATTAGAAGAACTAAAGTCTTGGATTTCTCCCAAGAAGTGAGACTGTTGACAAGAACAATCTTCTCCCCCATCATTCTCTTAGTCTTCTTCTATGATTTGGTTGAGGATTGATGAAAGACATCTGCATCATCTTATCACCAGGAATATTTCCAGTCTATCAAAGATGAGATGTATCCAAATGATGCAGATGGCTTTCATCAATACTTGGCCAAACCTCAGAAGAAGACACCCAAGAAAACAATGGCAATCAAGTCAACAGGCTAACTTCTGTCCAGTGATTGCAGACCCAATTTCTCTCAATTTGAACATTGGATGGAACTGAAATTTGGATATATTGAATCTTAAGTGTAGAAGAGATCCTCTAAAATTCTAGTTAATCAGAATATAGGAAGCCTTTCATCAAGGGAGTTTAATGTTGCTTGGTTTCTGGGACTGTCAACCACTAGTAAAGTCAATATTTAACATTTAAATGATTGGCCCACATCTAGGGTCACCTCATAAAGTACTTAGTGAATTGGATCAGTATTTAGTGAATTAGAGTAGTAGTTCCAGTCATGGAAAACTGAGGTCAGTTTTGTTTTTTCTTCCCATTGCATCTCCAATATAAGGGTATTTTGGGGATTAGAATTGATAGATTCTGATATCTTTTAGATGTTCTGAATGGCCAGAGGTAATTTAGGTAGTTAATATCAATGTTTTATAAGGCTTAGGAAGCTACAAAAGATCCTAATCACTATTCACGCTACTGCTTATCTTATTATTATTGAGTTGTTTCAATTTACAGAAATAAAGGAATTAAGTTTCTTCTATTGTTCTTGCTAGTTGATTGCTATTGAGAATTGCAGTGTTTGAGTATCTAGCTGGACTCAAACTCAGATTTTGATTTCACGATACAGCATATTTTGAGTGATGATGTTCTTAGTCTTTACTCTGCTTATGCTCTTGTTCAAAGGGAGGAGAGTAGAAGAATTGCCAATGATAGCAACTCATGTTCCTGAACACTCTGCTTTAGCCACTAATAAAGCTAAAAGGTAGTTCTAGGGCTCATTCCGAGGAGGTGAATGAGCAAGTGTGTATGATTATTGCAAGAATCCAAAACACACTAGAGAAAGATTTTGGAAGTGACATATGAAGTTAAAACCAGCACACTTCCTTTTTCCTTTTCGAATTGCAATAGGAAGGTCGAGGTCAAGAGGACCGTTGTTAATTCTAAGCTTCCTATTACTACTGTCACTGAGCCTGATACCTCACACTCTGACCTCGACCTTCCTATTGCAATTTGAAAAGGAAAAAGAAAGTATGTTGCTTATTAGAAACTGAGTTATATTTATTTGTTGATAGTTAGTTATGCAACAGGACAAATAGGTCCTTTATTTGTTTCTTTCTTGTGTTTGTCTTTTACTTAAGTGGGGGTATATTTGTAATTTGTCATTTTCATTTAAAACATAAACAGTGTTTCTTTCATTGTTCTATTACATTTCCTTATCTTCAACAATGAAATTTTGTAATACCAATCAAAAATATGGAAAGAACACAAGACATCCGTTTCAATACACATCAAAATTAAAGAAGGTTTAACCTGCCAAATGATGGAATGATAATTACATCCAGAAGCCATGACATATTCTGAATAGATGAAGTCCCAACTGTACAAGTAAAAAAAAATAAAAAGAAAAATAAATTAATGGCAGATGAAGTTAAATGTCATAAGTTGAATAGAAAAATGCTAAGTTGTTATCTTAAAAAAAATGACAATAATGGCAGACTTAGATTTAAAGGCCACAAGGAACTAATGCATAAACGAGTTTCACAAATAAGCACATTAAAATATAAAGGTGAACAAAATCTCAATAACCTAACCAGATTTGGTTAAAAATTGTTTTCTTTGATGTAGAGCAAATCATGGTTTGCCATATCAACAAGATTTGGAGAACTTTCACAAAATCTCCCTATTTTACTAGGGGCTGACTAGAAAAATCATCAAATGTTTTTAAATCTTTTCCTAAAAAAAAACATATGGGGATCTGGTGATTGGATGGTTGGTTTACTATTTTTATATGATTCACTAAGTTACAAAAGAAAAGAAAAAATTCATACATCTCTGCAACTACACTTCTTTTATAGCTTCCCCTTGACTATCACCCAACCGATGTTTAGGATCAATTGGTGAATCAATTGGCTTCGCTCCTAGTTTGCATGTGTCCTCTAACAAATCCAGGAAATATTTCCTTTAAGAAATAAAGATTCCTTTCTATGAGCAGGCAACTTCAATCCTAAGGAAATAATGTAAGGGACCCAGATCTTTTACCTCGAACTAAGAGGCTAAAAATTCCTTTAGCTTCTGTATTTCAGTTTTCCAATCACTTGTGACTATGTCATCAACATACACAATTAAAGCTACAATTTTTCCTTTCCCTTTCTTTACAAATAATGTATGATCTAACTGACATTGTTTAAAACCCATCTGCTGCATAGCCAAATGAAACCTATTAAACCATGCCCAAGGTGACTACTTTAACCCATATAATGATTTTTTTTTTAAATACACACCTTCTACTCACTATCTTTGGCACAAAATCTAGGAGGTTGAGTCATGTACACCTCCTCCTCTAAATCATCATTCAAGAATGCATTTTTTATGTCCAATTGGTTAAGATCCAAATCATAATTAGCTACAAGAGAAAGGAGGACCCTGGTAGAGTTCATCTTGGCTATTGGGGCAAAGGTTTCTACATAGTCCACTCCATACACTTGAGTAAATCCCTTTTCCACCAATCTGGCTTTGTACCTTTCCACTATACCATTGGCCCTATGCTTCACATAGAACACCCACTTGCATCCCACTAGTTATTTTCCTTTGAGAAGATCAACTAACTCCCAAGTGTCATTTTTGTGCAAGGCATTAATTTCTTCCATCATTGCATTTGTCTATTCAGGTGTGGATAAAGCTTCTACCACATTCTTAGGGATAAAAATGCTATCAATGGAGGTAAGAAACACATGAAATGAAGGTGAAATATGATATTAGGAAACAAAGTGAGAGATAGGATGATTAGTAGTACAAAACCAAACACCCTTTCTCTTACAAATAGGAAATCGAAATCATCAGTATCAAGAGGGTCATGCATATCAATAAGAACAAGGGTACCTGGATAAGGAGGATCTGCCTCTAGAGAGTCTAATGATGTTGGTAGCATAGTTTTAGGCTCCACAGTTCAACTTTACTAGCCCTTGTGGTGTCGAAGAAAGACACGGAATGAGGGAGGATAAGGAAGAGGAGGAAGTTAAACCTGAACGTGTTTCTCCTCAACCCTAATCTCCACTTAGGAGAAACAGGGAAGAAATGTTCATTTTTAAAAAAGGATACATCCATGGAGACATATTACTTGCGAGAAGTAGGATCAAAACACCAATAGCCCTTTTAAGACAAAGGGTAACCAAGAAATACACACGGGATAGCACGAGGGTCAAGCTTACCACAAGTAGGAGCCAATTCATGAACGAAACAATGACATCCAAAGACACACATTGGGTGAGAAAACAAGGGGGCCATAGGGAACAAAACTAGATGTGGGGCCTTATAGTCTAGCAACCAATATGGCATATGATTGATAAGATATGCAGCACACATAACATCCATCTAGAAATGTTTGGGAACATGCATATGTAATAATAATCCACGAGCTACCTTAAAAAGGTGACGTTTTTTCTCTCAGCAACACCATTTTGTTGAAGTGTTCTTGTTTGCCGAACTGAACCTATTGAGAGAGCTGAGAAGAAGAAGAAGAAGAAGAGGAAGAAGAAGAGAGGAGAGTCCGATGTGTTCGAATGGGCACTGTTCATTAGCCGACCCTGTTCACTAATATAAGAGCAATACATAATTTACATGAAAGGACCAGGATGCCCCTGATTAGTGATGGGACACCCAGTCTAATAAAACACAAGATACAATTAGGCCCAGCTACTAAGGCCCATTAACTAGAGACTCTAATACCCAGCCCAGACAAGAGAATAACAACATATCAGCCGAACCAACAATTCTAGCACCACAGCTTCGATAAAGAGACCCATATGAAGCAACTCTATGAAATCACTGTGGAAGTACTCCTTTGCATTATCTAATTGGAAAATATAAATCTCAGTCTGGAATCACCATGTGTTGAAAATCCTTTATAATCTTAGGTACTTCATCTCTGGATCGCATGGGATACACCCAGGTATATCTAGAGTAATCATCAATCAATGTAATGAAATACTTATAGCCAGCTTCGGGGAGTAGAGTAATAGGGCCCCAAACATCAAAATAAACAATATGAAAAGGAAATTCAGATTTTTATTTCTTAATGGAAAAGAGCTTCTACAATGTTTGCTCAAATGACAGATCTAACACTACTACAATTGACTAACAGACAGACTTAAACAATTCTAGAAACATAAGCTTTAACAACTCAAAAGAAAGATGACCAAGATGATTGTGCCATAAGTAAGCATGACTTTCACTAGACAAACTTAAAGACTCTATAACCACAAGACCAACTTTATTCTCCAACACATAGAAGCCATCCACTATACTTCCTCTACCAATCATCCTCTAGGAAGTCAAATCCTAGAACACACAAGAGGAGGGAAAGAAGGTTACTGCACAGTTCAAGGAATAAATAATGCTACTAATGGAAAGTAAATTAATAGGCAATTTTGGAACATGCAATACATTTGAGAGGGTAAAGCCGAAAAGAAGAGAAATGGTTCTAATGGTATTTGTGAATTAACATATAAATACATAGGAAATGCATATTCTAATGGTATTTGTGAATAAATATATTACAATTAATATAGCAGGATGCATACAAATCATACAATTTTATTGATAATTTAACAATTCAGAGCCCTAGAACATATTACATAAATTCTTTACAAATTAATACATGCACAAAGATATTATTTATTTTCTATTGAAGTTCAAGTCACAAAACACATGCACCTATTATATGTGAATTATTATATCAATTATTTTTTTACTTTTCTACTTTTAGCTTTCAACATTAACAAAAAAGTAACTAAAAATTAATTCTCAAATGTTTGGTAAACAATATTTTATTTTTGTAAACAATAAAATGTAATTAAAATACCAATTAATAATTTATAAAAATATATAATCCTAACTTAAAATATATACCAAAAATACTAAATTTTTAAACATACCATATGCAAATTCATAATTTTTAATTACTAAAATAATTATTTCATTATTAATATTTTTAATTTTATAAATTTTATGAAATAAAAAGACATTTTTGATATAAAAGTTTAGTAGATTTGACAAATTCAATTTATATTATATTCTCAAGTATTTTGTAAATAATATTTTTCTTTTTATAAATAATATATATTTTTATTTAATGAAAAAATAAAATATTAATTAATAATTTATAAAAAATTTTAAGTTACATATCACATTCAAATATATAAATTTTAAGTACTAAAATAATTATTTTGTTACTAATATTTTTATATGTATAAATTTCTTGAGAATAAAAATCACTTTTTGATATAAATGTAGATTTGAGAAATTATTTATTCCATTTGTTTACAAAATATTAATTTTGAATAATATTTTTTAACCTTTAATTGGAATTGTTGATCATAAATATGTTAAGACTATATTTGGACTTTAAAATGGATAAAGGTTATTTTATTTCATTTTTTACATGAGATAATGGTTGGCTTAGGGGCGCGTAAGTCGTATGTGCACTGGCTGACTCGGGTTCAACTCACGCCATTGCATCCTTTTAAATTAGATGCACAAGTGGAATTGTGATTTGTGAAACACAAACCACAAGTGTATCGGTCCATATCAGTGTGTATTGGTCAATACAACACGATACGGTCCAATATGGATGTGTATCGCTCTGATACATATGATTCAGGGGATATGGGTTTAATCGTAGCGTTTCCAATATCCCCCATGACCAATACTGATACAATACACTCCATATCAGGTGTATCATGTCAATATTTAAGTCCTTGAGCTTGATTCCCCTAGACCACTCAAGGTAATTAAGTCCATCGAAGGGGATTAAAGATTACAGCCATAGGGAAGTTTATATCCAATCCTCCACTCATTCCCTTTTGACTTGTGGTAACACCAGAAGTTGCAGAATTTTCAAATGACATGGTCCAATTCACTGTTCAGTTCTAAACACACACCCAAGAGTCACTTCTGACATAAAACCATCCCTAGAGAAACATTAGTACTGCAGTCCCCAAACACACCTCACTGTCTGAGCACAAGACAGCACCATCTCCCTCCAAAAAAAAATAATAATTATTTTCAGGTCTATACAGGCTTAGTAGCCACAGGCCATGGCACTTCCAGGGAACTTAATCAGTACAGTCACCAAGAGAGACAACAACAGTTCTGTCAAATAAAAAAACAGGCCATACATGACCTACAGGAGGATCAAACTCAGCTACGAGGGTCATATGATCCACATAAAATGATTAAACCAATCACAGATCCTTCTCACAGCATCCAGCCATCTTAGTTTTATAGATTTCCTTGGTACACGACCAAGAGGAAGAGAGAAAGGAAAAAAAAAAATCTGATGCACCAGTCAGAGGAAATTTTTCTCAATCCCAATCTGTAGAAGACAGTAAGGAGAGAAAATATGATCGATCTATTCTCAGGCCCAGTAATCTCGCTCTGATACCATATTGTCTGTAAAATAGGGCAGAAAATATGGAGGAAGAAGATAGGAGAGTGGGAAGAAAGAAAGGGAGAAGAGATGAGAGAGATTAGAGAGCAACAACATAACTTGTGGCACTAGTTCTCATTAACATATATATATATATATATAGGGCGACAAAAAATAGAAGACAAAAAGACATTTGTGCCCTTGTGGCACATACTACATTAAATATAAACTATTCTAACAGTAACCATCAAACCGCTTTATTAGGACATTTGGAAAGAATGTATTACAATAAATGTGTGCCTAGCTTCCCTTTTCCACTAGTCTTAGTTAGCCCCTCTTTACACAATTTAAATAACCCCCTCTTGGGGTATTAAACCCCAATACAAATTGCTTCTAGTTACTCCATGTTTAGCCAGCCCATCAGCCATGAAGTTGGAAAGTCTTGAATTTGACTTTTTTTCTGGTAATAATTAAAATAGAAAATTTTATTAATAAAAAAGGAAGGTACAACTTAAAGGTGATGAGAGGTCACCAATAAAGATTAAAAAAAGAAAGCAGTTCAAAAGATAAGTACAAGAAAAGGAGAAAAAACAAAAAGTAGTAACACAAAAGATTTAGACCAACTCAAGAAGATTCCAGAAACCAGCACCAAGATCTTCTTTTATATCCCCATCAAACTCTAAAAGAATGAAAACCCAGTCCATGATCCTCTTCCCACAGATAAGAGTAATTTGGTCTCTTGAATGGGACTTGTTTTCGAAGATTCTCCTATTTTTTTCTTTCCAAACTTCCCATTACACAGCAAAAGAGATGCAGTTCCAAGCAATCTTTGCCTTGATGTTTCCTCTAATAGCTGGCCACCAAGCGAAGATTTTTTCTGTCAAACTAGGTTCCACCCAACCAGCCTTAAAGAGACCAAAGAAGAAACCCCAAATGAATCTAATAGGGGTAGCCAATAAACAAGTGAAGGACATCTCTGAATTCCCACATAAATAGCATCTACTAGCCAAGTGAAAAACCTTTATTCTGAATATGGTTTAAGGTCAGAGTGCTGTTCAATGCTACTAACCAAGCAAAAGCTTCCACCCTAGGAGGAACAGGGTCACCAAATCCCCCTTACCTCAGATCTTTTTCCTTCATTCCTTGACAAAACCTTGTAGAAGGATTTGACAAAAAAAAAATATACGATTTCTGGATTTTTTTCCACCATATTTAACCTTTCCTTTCCCCTTGCACTTCAGTTGATTGTAGCTTTTAGAGTAACTGCAAACATTCCCATTTTCCCAATCAATAAGAGATCTTCTGAATTTTGGGCACCAAGTTGCTCTGCCTCCATTAATATCAAAATTCTCCGCAACAGAGCTATTCCTCTTACCAAATTTGTACAAATGTGGGCAAAGATCACATAGCTTTCCAATTCCAACCTAGTCATCATCCCAAAAGATGATTGGAAATACATAACACTCACTCTATTGAGAATGTTTAGACAATGGTGTTTTTAGTCTTTTCCCCATCTCTTGTATTCTCTCTGTATTTGGGAGCCCAAGTAGGGTGTATAATTTTCTTGTTTCAAAATATAAAGTGATTTTGATGGTGTGAACAGTAACAGACACACACCTCTCAACACATTCTTCTTCTTCTTCTCCTCTCTTCTCTTCTCTTTTCTTTCTTCTCAATACATACCTTTCCTGCTGATCCTCTCCCACGAGATGAACTGTTGATGTCAGACTGCCGCCAGATAGACCTGTTCATTTTTCCGGGCTTCGGGCCCAGCTTTACATTGTCTCAGGCTCGAGCTTCGGGCCAGGCCCATTAGAATTTTGACAAAAGTCAAGCCCGAATCCGGTCCATGAACAGGTCTACCGCCAGATGACGCCAGCAGTCTGTACAGGTGTTGGCGACAGTCAATGAATCCTACATGGTTTGATTCGCCCTGATTTTAGAGGATTTTTGGTATGACTCTTGTCCCTATTCAAAGCTTCTATGATTTTAGTGGTTTTTTCAAGGAGAAAATCGTAGAAATTCCATATATGATGTTGAGCCTTATACACCATGTTTAATAAGTTCTGCTGCCAAACCTAGACTATTCAGGTCGTTTTACACTTTAGGAATGACGGGAAAGTGGTCCTGTAATTTTCTAAGCATTGTGGTCGTTTTAAACCTTGTTAATGCCAACCTTTTTATCATTAGTAAGAGAGCTGTCATTGCCAATATGTGGCATAGTTAAATCATACATCATACCTTTCTTAATTTCATTAGGAGATGATACATTGTATAAATTTTGAGAAAGCAATAGAAATTTCTTTTAAAACAAAAGCAATAGGAAACAAGTTGTTGCCCACCAAATTAAAACACCCTGTGTTAACTGTTAAAGTCATCCCAGAATTGAGCCTGTTATCTAAATTATATGTAAATTATACAAGAAAGGTTCATACTCATACCAAACAAGCGAAACAAGAAAAATTCAATAAAAGATGGCTCAACTGAATACCATTATGATAATTAACAAGTTACCCAAAGTTAGTGACACAAACTGAGCGAATTCCAGCATCCGCTGCTGCTCGGCATGCAACAGGAACAACATCCGAAACCTTTTTTCATAAAAGTACAAATAGGTATCACATTATGAAAATAAAAGAATATCTACTGGTGAGAAGATAATATCAAGAGAAAGTATCCCAGAAATACTGTATTTTCCATGCCATGGGAAGTAGTATTATATGTATTCATGTTCTCTTCTTATTAAGTAGAAGATAAGTTGAGATACATTAACATATTGTTTACTTTTGCCTTTTGGCTTGGCTTTCTATGCCTGCATGTCTTCCCTTTCTGATTTCAAGTGAATTTTACCATTGTCGATAAAAAAAAACAAAGATAAAAAGAAAACATAATAAGAAAGACAAAATTACCACTATGTCAGCTTTGATGGAGTTCAGCCACTCTACTTCTTCTTCCAAAATGGATGCTCGCGGGGCTATTGCGGTTTGGAAATACTGGATTAACATAAAGGAAGCAAAAGAACAAGCAAAATATATAAGAAAACTAAGATCTAAGAAATGACAAATATAACTAAAAAACAATGAGACCTAAGAACTTGGAAAGATCATTGAAAAGTAGAGAATGTGGTGTGTTGAGTAGGGGTCTTAGTTTGTAGCCTGGCCCACAAATTTCTGAGATTGTGACTATGTTTTATGTCCATGTGTGGCTGATAATATACATACAATATTGTACGTGTGAGTGCATATGTAACTTATATATTATATTGTATATAACTTATGTATTGTTTGTGTTGTTAATGGAAATTGTTTTTAGTATAATTTCTCACATAACATAATTCACCCAATTAGACTAATAACTGGATTTTTTGTTATATGGGTAAGCCCCATTCAGGAAACCACATAGATGTTCCCTTAATTACATCTCTGCTAAGGGCAGAGAAAACCTTTTGATTCTGATTTAAAAGTACAAATGAATAGACTAAACTAAGTATCGTTTTTCTACAGAATTTTAAATTCTGGTATATACTCCCTCTTTGTTTGAGAGAAAACCAATAAATAAATAAACAAACTTTTTATACATGACAAGTAAATAGATATCATAGATAGTCATATTGTTAGAATGTTAGAGTGATGTTCGGCTGATAAGAGTTCTTATTAGCCCATTCTTATGTTTAACTTATCTTGTAACTGGGCCTGTGTTAATGGGCCTAATCATGTTTAATGTTTTAAGTCTTCTGGGTGTTCCATCACTAATCAGGGGCATCCCAGTAATTTCTTGTACCTTGTACTACATTCATATATAAATAAAAGGCTGGTCGACTGGCTAGTACAGTTCGACATTCTCTGCATTTCAGAAGTTCTCTCCTCTTCCTTGCTACTTCGAGTACAGCTCCTCAGATTACATGGTATCAGAGCATTAGCTCCTTCCTGGTTTCAGCCGGTGCACTCTCTTCTCTTGCTGTCTTTTCATCTTCTCTCTTCCTTTTCTGGGTTGCTGCAGTAAAGACCTAGGAGTGTAAGAGAGCAAAGCAAGTTCGAACCTAGGGTTTCTCTTGGTTGTAGGACTCAAGGGAAGTAAGACCCAGAAGTAGATGTCCTACTAGGTTATTTCCAGCAAAGTAGTAGCTATTTGGCTACTAAGAGAGGTCTGTATAGGACAGGCCTAGTTGAGGATTGATTTCAGCAGTCCTAGCACTAGCCGAAAGGGGGAGAGCTTCCTCTACAGTTGCAGCTTCGGTGCTCCAGCAAGACTTGCGCAGAACAGTGGTAAAGACATAGCCTCTTCTACAGTTGCAGCTTCGGTCCATCAGCAAGACTTTTACAGAACTGTGGCGACTTCAGTTACAGATTTTTTCCAGGTCGGTTACCAGCCTTTTTTCAGCACTGCACAGTTGCAGCCTTGAACCTTTTACCAGCACTGTGAACTGGTTTAGTTACAGACCTTTACTTCAGCACTGCACAGTTGCAGCCTTGAACCTTTTACCAGCACTGTGAACTRGTTYAGTTACAGACCTTTACTTGCTACTGTACCCGAACTGGTTCAGTCCAAGTAAAGTCTATCTAGTGTGCTACCAGCACTATAAACACTTCTACCAGCACTGTGACCACTTCGGCCAGCCCTAAACAGAACCACCTACAGCACTGTGAACAACTCTTGGACTGAAATCAGGATGTCCTCACTATCCGGTGAAGTTTCCTCTAGAGATAACAGACCTGTYRCAAGGTCCTCAAACCTGGAAAACCCTAATCTGCACAGCTTGCAGATTACAAGTGTGTTGCTGGATGAGTATAACTTCAGAGAGTGGTCCGTCTCAGCAAGGCTGTTCATTACCTCTCGTGACCTCACAGGCTATTTGGATGGAGACAAAGAAAGAACCAGAAGTTGGCAGTCCTGAATACACCGTATGGCGCAAGGAAAATGCCACAGTCATGTCTTGGTTGCTGGCCTCCAAGACTCCTCGGGTGGCCAGAACTGTTCATCATTTCCCTACAGCCACTAAAATTTGGGAGAAAGTATCTAAGACATACGGCCAGAAAAAGAACAATGCTAGAATCTACGGGCTGAACCAAGACATTGCAGCCCTAAGGCAAGGAGACATGTCCGTGGCAACATACTTTGCAACACTGGAAGGCCTCTGGGAAGAGCTTGACCACCACTTGATTTTGGATTGGGAAAATGCCAGGGATAAGGAGAGGTATGACAAGCAAATTGAGGAGGGCAGAGCCTTCAAGTTTCTGGCAGGCCTAGACCCTGTATATGAAGGTATAAGGTCACAGATTCTAAGGAGAGATGAATTACCTGAGCTTCACCATGTCTACTACCTGGTGAGGAATGAAGAAGTAAGGAGAAAGGAGATGCAAGTTGGCTCCCAGACACAGTCAACAGAACTATCTAGAGAACATTCAGCCTTAGTCTCCACTAAGGGAAACAGATTTTTAGACAAGAAGTCCCTCAAGTGTACCCATTGTGGTGGTGAGAAACACATAAAGGAGAAATGTTGGGTCTTGTATCCTCATCTGAAGCCAGCTACTCTGAGAAAGGACAAAAGGCAACATTAGGGCCACACAACAAGTGGGAATCTTGCCACCAACAACAGCAGTGACAACTCACAGAGTACTCAGACAGTGTCCTCTTCCACCACAAAGCAAGCTACCGACCCTTCTGGACCAAGTACTTTGGGCTTCACAGCTAGTGAGGTAGAGGTTCTCAGCCGGGCATTCGCCCGTCTGAAGAACAATTCTTTAGCTTCCACCTCTCTTGCCAAATCAGGTACAGCCTCTGCATTTAGTGCAACTAGTTCCATTAATTATAACTCTTGGGTGATTGATTCCGGATCCACTGACCATATGACACATATGTCCTCTTTATTCTCCTCATATCATTTGTTGTCTGGCCAGGATAAGATGAGAGTAGCTGATGGSTCCCTCTCCACCATCTCTGGAAAGGGGGTGGTTGACCTAAGCAAGGATCTCTCTCTTAAATCAATCTTACATGTTCCTAGTCTTACATCAAATTTGTTGTCTGTTTCAAAGCTTACAAAAAATTTGAACTGCAGTATAACCTTTTTTCCTTCTCATTGTGTCTTYCAGGACAGATTGACGAGGAGAACGATTGGGAGTGGTCATGAGTATGGGGGCCTCTACTATTTTGATGCAGATATCAGCTCA